GTTGTATTTAATACAGTATAAGAAGGGTTTGTTTGCTTCAAATTCCAGTTCCGGTTGTATTATCAAAGACTCGAACGTGAGTTGGAGAACTGCAAATACAATGCAAACCACATTATAGGATTGTCTAAGAAACTTCCATCGAGTCTTTTCGCTTGTGCAAGACACAAATGTATGCTTTGTTCATTATTTATATATGTTAATTAATTATTATATCCACTGCAACTGTTTAGAGCAGAATACAAATATTAGGTAAGCGGGATATTCAGTAAAGAAATTAGGACTATTATAATAATCATAATTCAAAATACCTTTGTCTGGTAAAAAATTAATAAACTCTTTATAATGTCGGTTTAATTTCGTATGGCGAATTTGCCATAGAATGTGCTGAAAAATCGATGTATGATAATCTTTCCCACATGCCGTTTAGTATATTTCTGGCACGTTCACGCGGCCATCGAATAAAGATTGGTTTAATGGCCGATACTGGATTTGATAAAAGAATGATCGATTTATGTCGAACTCTGGTACATTGGTTATAAGACTGGTAAGAGTAATTTCCACAACTGCGAACAAAACATAAAGAACTGCTTATTATGCGTGCTTGATCGTTCAAGATTTTTTTCATGAACGTATGTATGTTCTGTGTCGTTGTTTCGAGTTTTTAATATATACTTCTTTTTTATTAGTACCAAGATTACTTTTGCAAGAAAATTCTTATGACTGTTTAGAGAGATATATACATAATTTACAAATTCTAAAAAGTAATTTAGAAGCAAATACACATGCATGTTATTTTCTGATATAAACAATGCATATTAATCATTGAGGCATGTTATTTGAAAATAGAAAAAAGACAAAGAGTGTCGAAAAAAAGATTTTTTAAATTTATTATGAGAGATTGAACAAATGCTAAGAATGTCCAGGTAAAACAATTATATATAGTCATAACAAGAAGGAATAGCTTGCTAATATCAGAAATCATTTAGGGGAAAGAGGGGAACTGTGCGCAGCGAGTAATTGTGCACATTCTGGTTTGGTACTTTTCCAATAGATGAAAACATCACCGCGGTGAAATTTTTACGCAGGAGGTCGTCCTCTTAAGATATAATTACAAAAGGTACGACGTAAATGCGTTGCTAGAGAAATACAAAAAAGTGAAATCGTATTTTTTCTTGTTATTTTAGCGTTCAGAAAATAAGATGGGTCCGTATTTTTTATTTGTTTGTTTAAAGTTGCATATGTTATTAAAGTATGTTATTATGTGCGTCTTTTGAGCTGTAACTTATTAAGTTTGGTTAGGAAGTGTTGAAGTAATCGTATTTCATATCGAATCAGGTCGCGCGCAACTGTGCGCAAGCGTTTTAAAATGCGCACAATTACCCATCTTCCATATATTATATAACTAGCACTAATTTTTTCGTTTCTTCTTTGCATTATTATTTTATTTTGTCATTTTATTTTGCCAAAGTCTATATGCATTATTATATTAGTTTTGTATTTTTGCTTAATATATATTTAAAATATATTTAATATATATTTATATTGCAACGTAATATTGTAAATACAATCTTATTGAATAAAAAATCTATTCAATATGAGGATATGTAATGTATGTAGAAGAATGTTTATAGTATCTATTTCCATACTTATATCGCTTTAAACTTCGAAAACCATTCCAAGACAATAAATTTCTCTTAGCACAATTCACCCATTTCCCCCAATTTGAATTTACTAATAAATCTTTTAATGTATCAGACATTAATTATTTCGACACAATTATTGTAATTATTGTAATTATTTAAAAGACGATATATATTTCGCCGCTAAATAATGCTTCAAATATATACTATAAGTTCAATAATTGAGTATTATAAATTGTAAAAATAATTAAGTATTACAATAATATAAACATCGAAATGTTTAAGATCGTAGTATTACATTGTTATAATTAGAATAAGAATTACAAACATAACAATTAAAACTGTTCAACTAACACAAAAATGGCAACATAAAAAGAACAAAAACACTTAACAATATCGAAGATTTTGCTTATAAATAGCGTGCAGACATCGGCAATAAAATTTATAGGTTGGCGATATTTATCGTAAAGAATATCTATTACATTTCTGGCTTGTTCACATGACCCTCGAACAAAGATACGAACAATATTCCCTCGTTATAACGAATATAATAATAAAACGGTCGATTTACGTCGAATTCTAATAAATTGCTAATTATTGCACTAAACGGAGTGAATATCACAGCTGTGAACAAAATATAAAAAATCATTATGTATTTTTGTGTTCAGTTAAAACTTTTCATGGACATTACGAACGTATGCTTTACCGAAAATAGCTTCTAAACTTTTTATTCAAATGATTATACTGCCAAATGATTCTTGTAATCATCTAACTGCATAAAAGATCGTTCAGAATATAAATACACAAACACATATGTTATTAAATTAATAATGCGTGATGAAATTGATAAAAAAAAACAGAAGCAGATAGATGCAGATATTCAGCTGATTTTATTTTTTACAGAGTAAAATCTATTGCATTTCTGGTATGTTCACAAGACCCTCGAATAAAGACACGAATGATGTTACCCCGTTATGACGAATGTAATAATAAAACGATCGATTTACGTCAAATTCTAACGATTCCCTAATTATTACACTGGTCCCTTTACCTACTAGAACTGTGAACAGAATATAAAAAAATCATTATGTATTTTCTGTTTATTTAAAACTTTTCATGCATGACACGAACGTATGCTCTGCCGAAGATAATATCTCAACTTTCTATTCAAATGATTATACTACCAAATGATTCTCGTAATTGTCTAACTACATAAAATATGATTTAAAACAAATATGTATGTTATTAAATGAATAATGCGTGGTAAAGTTAAAGATAAAAGAAACAAAAGCAGACAGATGAAGATATTCAGCTGATTTAGTTTTTTACAGAATAAAATCTATTATATTTCTGGTACTTTTACAAGACCCTCGAACAAAGATACAAGCGATGTTCCCTTGTTATGACGAACATAATAATAAAATGATCAATTTACAATATGAATTCTGATTTCGTAATTATTATGCTGGCAACTGAAAATACTAAAACTATGAACAGAATACGAAAAAAATTCTTACGTATTTTCTTATTCATTTAGAATTTTTTACGCACATCACGACAGTATGTTTTACCAAAGATAGTATTTCAACTTTCTATTTGAATAATTATACTACCAAATTATCTAGTTACATAAAAAGTTGTTCAAAACATAAATACTCAAATAGGTATGCCATTAAATAAATGATAAAGTTAAAGAAATAAACAAAAGCAGACATCAGATGCAGATATTTTTATTCGGTAATTTTTTATGAAGTAAAATCTATCTATAAAGATTCTTAATATTGTTTAAAATCTGTCACATTTCTGGTACGTTTACACGACCATCGAATAAAGCTACGAATGTTCCGTCATTATGACGAATATAATAATAAAACGGTCGATTTATGTCGAATATTAAAGGTACTTCTCCAATTATCATACTACCAACCACAATTTCCACAACTGTGAACAGAATATAAAAGATTGTTCGTTATATCAGTTATATATGTATATTCGTTTATCATTCGAGCGATCTTCACTTGGTGTTATAGATGTACGATTTATTAAATTTGCCGCTTCAAATGAACTGTCTTAATTTCTTATGAATTATCCCGTTAAATAATTATTTTAATCTTTATTGTATGCAGAAAATGAATTGAAACATAAGCACATGCATGTTCTTTGATAAAAGCATTCCATATATTACACAAATATCGCAATGTCTGTATTAGCGATATTTTCTCTAGCTTGTATAATTCCGGAAAAACTTGAAACTTTAAAATTTTAACATAATTTTAAGCTAACTAAATACTAATACCATTCAGGTAGTACAAGAGCCGCAACAAAAATGAATAGATGATCAATATTGTAGATTTTTTATAATTTATTCGTGATACCAAATTGATGATTGCTTTACGATACAATATTGACGCCTTCAAATAAAGATATGAACGATGTCCCCCCGTTATAATAAATATGATAATAGAACGGTCGATTTATGTTAAATACTACAGGTTCCACAATATTTATCCAATCGACTTCCAAGAATATCGTCATAACTGTGAACAAAATATAAGAGCTCGCTCGTTACACATTCGCTTAACCCTATAACGTACGAAGTTATTGAACGCTAAGATATGCCTTCAGTGATCAGTAGGAGATCCAAATCTGCCATGTTAAAAGCTGAAGCCTAATTGTGAGTACTTTAGTGCCATCCACCAAAGCAGAGACAAGCTTTTAAAAATTCAGTCCGATATGTATCAATTTGAATTTTCTAGTGATCAGTATTAAAAGAAATTTGATAGTGTATTTATTCTTTTTTCCTTTTAGATTAATAATTTGTGTTTATAAAAGTTTATCAGACTTATTTATTATACATTATAAATATTTTTTCATCAAAAATATAAAATTTTGTGTATGAAAATCTTGTGTTACATTAATTATAAGAATGGCCTATTTTCTCGGACATAAAATTTATGTATCAATAGCAATATTACTTAATATTGATAGTGTTTTAGGGTTAAGCATTCCGATTTTTTTCGGTTTTTTTCATTACAAACTTCCATTTTCTCGACACTGTTTTCAATTTAATATTATACATGTACGATTTCTCGTCCGTTATTTCATCAAATAATTCTTTCAGTTATATAGAGATGATTTAGAAAGTACAGGAATCGCCAATAAACGATGCATTTTATTCAAAAAGAGTAGAATAAGATATTACACAAAAATCAACAATTTGACATTTTTAAATCAGTTATTATAATGAGATCGAAGAACGTTTAGCTAAAACAATAATTATAACAAACATGCCAACTAGAGTACTTTATAGTTTGAATTTGCTAATAAATGTTAAACGATCGAACAATGAATTTTCAAACTACAAATTTTTTGCGTGATTCATATCTTTGACATGTTTATGCAATCACACGATTTTTTAATCAAAATATGAACAATCTGTTGTTATTCATATAACGAATATCACAATAAAACGATCGATTTATTTCGAAAATCGGTATATGTACCTATACTATAATATAAGTAGCACGGTTTAAACTCCTGCGAACAAAATAACTATAAGACAATCTGTACAACGAGATCCTTGTCGATTTGTTTTTTTTTTTTTGGTCAATGCAATCACTGTACAAATGTTTGCATACGAATGTTTGCATAGAATTTAACTTGATCCTCTTTGAGAAAATTTTTTTCTCTTCTGACGTTCTTTTCTCGCTGTTATCAATTATTGCTTATAACGCTTGCGACGAATTTATTCAAATTGTTATGTTCGTAAAAATCTTATAATTGAATTATTGATAGCCCAATAAAACAGTAATTGCGAACAGTTACTGTTGCGAGGTAATCGATCTGTGTAAAATGTGAAGAAATTACAAGAATGATCGCAAGTGATAAAATTAATACAATAAGAAAAAAAAAGGATAAGCAGATTAATAGGAGATCTTACAGATCGTTTAGCTGCTACCACATTTTATGATGTTCACACGTGCGACTCATCTCGTTAACTTCTTAATCTCGGATCATTTACGACGCCTCGGAATAGTTCGAAATCGTTTGACCATCTCATTATGAATGAAAATGGCCTGTTCGCTTCGAAGTTCTCGAAATTGGGTAGAAATCTTCGATTGCTGATGCCTACCAGACAAATGTCAAGTTTCTACCATGTAATCTTTTACATAAGAGTTGAAAAAGCGATCAGAAGAAGCATCGAAGTGCTTTTAAACGAATTCAAATTGGCTCAAAAACAGATTTGTTTGCAGTTTGAATTTCTCATTTACAACAAAATTTATATACTTTTTACGTACAGTAATATTTATAAATGCATGTATTATATATAGGATAAAAATATTATAATAAAGAGTTAAAACGTTAAATTATTAATATTCTCATGTTATATATAATATATATATTGTATTAATATTTTAGAAAGCTAATATACCTTTATAAAATATTAACATCAATATTTTTATAATCATAGTTTATATTTTGTAATAAGAGAAGGTAAAATAAATACCGCTTCGTAATAAATACCGCTAAAAATTAAAATTATTACAGAATAACGTTTTTGAATCGATTTAAATGCACTTCGAATTCCCGTAATATATTGCGTTGTACGTAAAATTTAACAAATAAGAAATAATTAACAAAGGAAAAAATATTGATTAAGAAAATTCTCATGTATATATAAAAATATAATAAAGCTATAGAAATAAAGTGACCAAAAAGTGATAATTAAAATAATCAACAAATATATATACGTATTATGTATATTAATTATTCTCATCGAATTATCAAAAATTCTACTAATGTTTGATGGTTTTATGTTGTGGAATAATTAAATCTATTGAACAGAGTAATTAATTACATATCACATAATACGTATAATAATTAAATTAAAAGAGAAACAAGAGTGTCTTTTTAAAATAATAATCGCCTACTTAAATATGTTGTCAAAACTGCACGTTTTCGGACTTGTGCATAATCAAATATTTAAGCAATAATTGAGCAATAATAATTTATGAAATTTAATTTCTATTATTATACAAATAATGTCATGCTTTATAAGTTATACATCTCACGAGATACCATCAGCTGTATCATTTTATACGAAAGATGTATGTACTTTATCATAAATTAACTTTACTATTAATCGCACATAAAAATATTTATTTTTTTCAGCTATAAAATTGCTGAGTATATCGATAGTACGTAAAAATACACGCGAATAACTAAAAAGTATCATTGTGTACCCGCGTCTCTGCCACGAGTGTAATATAAAAAGTAATTACTGTTTTCTATTACGAAAAACGTATAAATATTATCACTACCACAGGATCTTCACTACGAATAACGCGACGCTGTTGTGTTTAATGATCGCCAGGAAAGGATGATCGACGCGAAGTAATAAAGGCTCCACCGGTTTCCAAGTACCCGAAAGAGGTCTGACAGAGGCACCTGTCAGAAGATCATTCTTTGTATCAATTATCCGTTTCAATAATCGGGTGCGCTCTTGGATACCCAGAGCACGCGAGAAATATTCAGACGAGAGATATGACTGATTGAATATTAGTAATGCTAAGACTTGGTCAGAGAGTAGAAACTGGTTGAGAGTGCAGGAAAAGAAAAGAAGAATTTAGTAACGATGCATCTGATTACGATAGAATCAGCGAGTAAGTCAAGCAATGAAAATCGCTCGTGTTTTATATATAAATATACATATCTATTTTTTAGAAGTTACTCGTTTAAAATATTTTATTAGTTTAATGTATATAAATCTATTGCGTCTACATTATTTTCGCCAATTCTTTCATCGAATCAAATAAAAAAATTCTATTTCTATAATATATATGACAGATGTATATTTTGTTGTCAAATATATCGAATCGAGGAAAAGCGCAATCCATTTTGTTGTTACAATGTAACAAAACTATTCATTCGTAGTCTGATTGGATATCATCATGATGAGAATCCCATTTATTATGCCTTCTCATGTAGTTAGGAAGGGCTCGATAAATTTTTCTTGAAAATTTTAATCTCTTCCTTTTTCTTTTTTCTTAATAGCTTAGTTTTAATTAAGGTATTTATATATTCTAATGAGATGATTAATTTAGTATCACAAATAGAACCGTTATCGCAAAATATATCTTTAGTGTCGTGAACCGTGAACTGCATAGTTCTCTGGTACTATCGATAGATGCGTATTCTAAGTTTGTTAAAGATGATTTAATTCGTGAATATAAAATCAACTTTAACTCCCCACAATTTTGAGCTTCTATTACTTCACCGTCCAATCACTCGTGCAATTTTACTTTTAAAAGTAAACTGCAGAAGTTCACAAAGTTTAATTTAAGTGCAATAGTCTATTTAAAGGCTTCTAAATTTTAAATTTTGTGTTACCTAAAAAATCCCAACTGTTCCTTCGAAATAATTCTCAGAACATAGCATAGCTTGTAATAATAAATACGAACACAAGCTATGCAATCACCATAATACATGTTAACTACATGCAAGATTTAAGTGCGAGCACTGATCAAGTGTCAATAGTCGCAACACTGAAACGCTCCATTTATTAAAAAATTTAAATTACAAGTTTTTCCGAATATCATCGAAACAACAGATCATAAATAACAATTAGCTCGTCTTGTATACGATTGTCATTGTGTGACAAAAAGTCATAATATAATAGGTGCAACGTGAGTAACAGGTGCATAATCAAACAAACGTGCGATTTGGTGCTATGCGGTGTGATAAAGCATTAATTAACAATGCATAGTATGTTTACTAAAGTGGAGATATAAAAGTAAGCATAGAAAAAAAAGTAGATAAGATGGAAAGACATGAAAAGTATACTGTGCGAAGACTAGCAAACCTGCTGATGTAGAAAGCATGTAAGCAACATTTAGCTATCACACTCAGTTTAAAATCACGGCAGCGTACAAGATCACATACATCCGTGCCGCGGAAACTCTGAGAGCGAAAAATTTGGAATTTTGCTACACGATTAACATAACATTAAAATAATGTTGCATGCACAAGCATAATTGAATAATCTCCAAAAAATAATTTCTCAGAGTTTCTAAGAAGCGAAAAGGAATTTCGATGTATCCCAAATAAAATTAGACGAAATATCATCTTGCTCTTGATGTGAAATTAATGTTACTTATGATTATTATTATTTTTCTCTTGTATTCTATCTAGATTATAAATAGTTAAATATTACGTGTTATCATTTTCTTTCAAAGTTATAAATAACCCAGCAAACACATTAACTAACAATAGTACAGCTATTAATTTCTCACTCAACAATAACTGTAACGTGTAACAGTTACATATAACACGTAGATAAAATAGATGGTAAAAAGTGAGACAAAAATATAGAAAGTATCTAAAGGAAATTATTTGACTTACACATTTTTCTCTATTTAAAGATTACTCTAAACTTCAAGATAATATTTCGCCCGTTTTCAGCCACAAACAAATGCAAGAAACAAAACAAGGTGTACTTACCAGTAACGGCGGCTGCCTCGCTACCTTCCTCATTAACTTCGATGAAAGCTTTTTGCACGACTTTGTCGATCTTCACAGGTACCTCCGAAATGCCGTCAAAGTTAGCTCTATTGCTGAATGGCTCAGTAAGACCCATCTGCAGTAAGTAAGATCGCAAATTAGATACGATGTTGCATTTATTTTGTTATCGATTATCGACGGAACATTGCGACGTACCTTATTGGACAATGTATCTTTAAGATCCAATTTGGTCTCAGTCCTGAACCTGGGCAGATATACTCGGACTTCACGTGCGTATGTTTGAGCGAGGCGAGAACTGCATTCTGCGTTAACTTCCTCGAGTTTGTCGGTCAGCGCAGCTAGACCGTCAACTTTATTGGGTAGAATGATCACCATGCTGACCTCTTTATTCTACAATAATAAAATTTACACTCATAAAAAAAGATTCGCGAAATACTTCGTTGCTTTTCACCACAACTGCGAAACACACACTTGTGAAAAGTAAATAATCTTACACATTTGACTAAATATTGTTTCTAATTTATGAACGTAATATTACCGCATATGGCAATTCGATGCATTTAGCATCGTATTCCGGCATTTCGACGTATTTATAGTTGCCCTTTCTATACATAGTTGGAACATCTTTCACGGTGTTGGCGTTAACATGGAACGGACGATCCGTGGTAGCCTTAGGATCGAACTGATGTTCCCATAGGCCCTTGAAATACACCGCGTTTGCGAGCACCAGTGCAGTATTACTATCCACATCGCCTATAATCGATAATACAAATTATAAGCATACTTTCAATTGCTGATTCAAATCAGTACATCATTTATATATAATAATGAAAATATAATATCTACAGATAATGAAAATATTTAGCACTTTGGTGAGTTACTACATTCTTTATGAATCAACTGCTCTAAATTTATGTCAAATTCTTTGTTCAAATAAAGAAAATAAGAAAATCTTATTTATAATTTGAATTTCACAGTGAATGTCTACCTTCATTAATGATGTTCTTGATGCGATCATTTGTTTGTTCTTTGCACCAGGTATTGATGATGTTCGCAGCTTCTTGGCTTTCATTGAAGTCTACTGACTGAATGTCAGATTTATAATATGTCTCGAGGTCCTGTTTGTATTCAGGTCTTACTGGGAAGTCTTTGCCGATAAACATCTTGTTACCGAGCTTCAAAGTAACATTCTCAACATTCTGAAAGGATAATTCCATTATTTCGATTAGCATTATTTATCAATAGAGTGTTATATCACAAGATATGACTAAATTAATTCGATAAATAATTGTGTCACATTTTATGAATAGTATGTCATAAATTTGATTGATAAATTTTAAGAATGTACATTTTATAAATATTATTCTAATTTCATTAAATTTTGAAGATTTAAGTAACACATAGAGAAACATAATTAGTAAAATGTAAGCAATAAGCAAATCAATATTGTTTATTTGCTATTGCTTACATATATTATTGCCTTACGTTCTCGACTATGATTGACCGATTCGCTTATTACTGTACGTCTTACTGTGTTTATGTTTTTTATATGTTACTGTTAGTTTCAAATTCTGTAAGTGGCGTACAACTATTACGTTTTACAATATAATGTAATTTGATAATTACATTCAATTTATCGATGATATTCTGGTAACCTTCCAGAATTTGTGATTTCGAGGCTGGAAGCTTGAGAACATCTTTAAACTGCGCCTCGGTATCTCCAGCAGCGCCATCAGCTGCCATGCTCAAGGCAATGTGGGCACTCAGGGGAGAACATATCAAATTGTTTGATTGTTCTTGTGAAACGGTCTAAAAAAAGATTATTCATTATAAACACTCTTCCATTTTCAAATTAACAGTATAAAAGTTTCACTACGAATATCAGAAAATTAATCAGATGAAGAAAATCAGACATTTCTTTTTCGATTATTTCACAATCAGCAAGTTACTGATTTACTATTTAGTGTATTAAAATTAGTAATATGAGGAGTAGGCTTCCAAAATGCATTTTATCCAAAATTTCATTTTTTTAATTAGAGATGGCACAGTGTTTAATGTTGAAAGACTCATATTTTAAGCTACTCTACGATGTTCTGAAAACATTTTTTTCATCAATTTATGTGCTGAAAAAAGTTTGAACATTCGAAGTGCATTGTCCTTTAACTTATAGAGACAAACAAATGCATTTGTTTAACATTATTAGAAATAGTTTAGCAATTTTGTTTAACATTTTACATCGTACTGATTGTTATTTTCTGTAAAGCGCGTGATTTCCTTGTGGCTTTCTTTCTCGTTTTCTGAAAATTATAAATTTTTGACAAAATGCATTTTGAAAGTCTGCTCTTCATATAGATTTCGCCAAAGTTATTTTCTCATAATTATTTATAAATTATATAACCGTATAACATTCAATTAATAAATATGAAAATTCTATACAATATCAAATATTAATATATATAGAACTTTAAAAATATTTAAATTCAATATTAATATACCTTGACGAAGTTGGCGGAGAACAAATTGGCGCCCTGAGAAACAGCTTGAACGGCGAAATTATTTTCAATTGCCGCGGCCATGGTTGATGCAAATAGGCAAAATGCCAAAAAACTTCTTTGTACTGTAATAACAAAAAAAAATCAATAGTAAATTTATTACAAAATTCTATGTATACGCGAATCATATAGTCAAGATGTTTAACAAAAAAGAAAACATAAAATTATTGTTTTTACTAGTTCAATAATTTTAATATTAACAATGATATAAACTTTTAAATACTTTTACGCTTATACATGCAATTGTCCTTAAATGAAAATAAACAACATCAATTCTCTCTTCTAGTCTGATATTTTAATATGATAACATAAGATATATAACATTGGAAAGATCATCGCTTTGAGCATTATAGGATTACTGTCGAAAATTGAACACTTGCGTTCGAAGGTCGCATACAAATCGAAATAAAGTGTCAGACATGTCGTCCAAGGTGAACACGAAACTACCACATTGTTACAAATCTTACATACACATATTTACATATTATGTGTCTATACAATAGAGTCTTTCAACTTTCAAGAAGCGAACATGAAGATTACAACGATTCGAAGGACAATTGCAATATTACACATTTAAAGTAAGTAATAAAGCGAAGTTTTATGAACTGAAGTTTATCGACAGAAAAACTAACTCAAGAACTCGAAAAACATAAGAACCGGATTTTTAAACAATTGTAGTTATTTAGCGGCATAAGATAAATAAAATGACATAAATATTTAAAAACTAATTTGATCGTCAAAAAAGAATAAATACATATTTCTATAATATTGATTTACTATATTCTTATCGTTTACATCAATTTAAAAAATTTAATAAAATTATTTAGTTAAATATTTTGCATATCTTTCAATAGCTTTAAGTATATATATATATTTTTATATTATAAAAATAATTCTTCACTAGCCATTAAAATGTTACTGTAGTCACCTCTGTTACTGTAGTCACCATGTTTTTTAATCGAATTATAATTGTTATGATGAATCATATATACATGTCGTAAGACGGGATAATGATTAATAATCATTCGTATTTACGATCATTACGTAACAGTATTCAAGAATAATAATGTAATTAGGACAATTTTTGATTGATACATCGGATATTATTAAATATTCTAACGTACGTCATATCGATTGGATGATGTTTTCATACATTACACGTGCATTAAACACGCTTTTCATAAAAAATAGGAGAACATTTATGATATCAATAATAAAAATCGTAAATATTCGTAAACAATTGTTCTAATTGTTCTAATTGACTGTTGTTAATTAATATAATAAAAAAAGATAGTACAGGTATAAAATTGAATTTTTTGAAAAATTAGAATTAATTTTATTCTAAAAAATTAGAATAAAGTAAGAGTACATTCCGTAAGTAAGAGTATATTCCGTTCACACTTAAAGCGAAGACGTCATTCTCTTTTTTCATTTAGATTGTTGATTATCATTTAAATTCCAGCTTAGTAATAAGTAAATGCCGCTATACAAGTCATTAAATCGGAAGTCGATTACGTCCCGAGTTTCTCACAATCAGAGAGCCACGAGAGGAACGCTGTGACAAACAAGAATACGGGCAGCGCGCGATACCGCAGCTCGTGCGATAATAGAAAATATTACTTCAGTAGAAATATATACGACCTCGGATCTATCGAGTTAACAGAGAGCAATTTACAAGTTAACAGAGAGCAAACAAGTTTGACAATTATATAAGCGGCGAGAAACGCGGGATGTCAGGGTCATGCGGGTCATTTATGCAGGGTATCAGAGGACCACTATCTTTCCTTCCAAACATCTATTCCAATTTTTTTCTTCTTTAAATTTAATTTAAGAATTCATTTTTTTGAATACTTGAATTATAACTTCCTGTTAAGCTAAAGCTAAAGTATACTTTGAGATATGAATAGAAAACGACCTCGATGAATTGAATTTTTTATAATGCGCACTTTCATGTGTCTCATTGAATTAAGTTAATTAAACTGTTTGTAATATATTACCATCTGTTTTTGAGGCAGAAGTTATTCGCGTTAGTCTTCTCAGTTACTTTTAATTTATATCAAACTGATAATATTTGATACTGAAAAAACAATCATTAGTTGGCCTTCAATGTTTGTCAAGAGAGGCTAATGAACCGGAGACATTCTAGCACATATAATTACGTTGCGTAATAAACCGATCAGGAAAAGAATGTAAAACATATGTTACCGTACCGTTAGATACGTCAACATGAATATATATGTGCTAAGAACATATTAATAATATGTCGTACATGATATTTATTAACATTTCTAACTATTAAAAAAATATTATGCTCGCGATAACATTTGTGATAAATCGAAAATAAAATGCATCAAGTTATATTGCTATGTTATATAATAAGAAATGTATATAACATTTTTTTTAAATGCAATAGATAAAAATTTAACGTGAGAGATTGTAAGCATGAGAAAAATAAAAATTTCGTGAAAGCTATTGATCTAAAAATATCTTTTATTAAAAATAATATCACTTTACAGAAGAATCATTACTTTTTCATAATATTATCATAAAATGAAAATGTGCACACTTGCAAATTTTTGCAATGCTGCCTTTGATGGAAATTTAATATTCCGAGAATATGACGTTTAGATTCTTTTGTGTTAAGTAATTTAAATGTCATTAAATATATTGCGAAATATAATCATTGCATTGAAAAATATTGCATACGCAATGATCATCTAATTCTTAGAATTACTTAAAATAAGAATTAGTCAATATAAAAATACATGACAAGATATCACTGCATTTAACGTAGAAATAACAAACGAGACTATCGCGCGGGACCATTAAATCGATGATGTTTCCTGGTGCCTTGGGGAAAACCCATTAAGATACTAATGTAACAGTCACGTTATGTGCGTAAGACTAATCATGTATAACAGCTAGATATATGCAACGGATAGGCGAATCGAGATACAATTTTGTTTGGTGTACAATGGTTTCTTTTTTGGCAGCAATAATAATTCTACTTTAATATTAAAGAGGAAATAAAAAGAAAATTTGCTCTCTAAAAGAAATGAATATTTCTAATAGAAATATTGGCGAAATAATTGGGGCTTAATTGACCAATTAATCGACATGTCGATATCGCATTATAAGCTTCCTATATACAGCATAATTATATTTTATCCAACAGAATTTTCCAGAATTACAAGTTTCTTCTTCATTCGAATCTTTATTTTTTTTCTTTTCCCGATGTTAATGACGCGTAACTTTATTTTATGATCGTGTAAGATTTCACAGAATTTTTATAAAACACTACTGTTTATTTTTTTTTATAACTCTTGCACTTTATTTTGTGTTAAAAACAATTTAGGTAAAATGTCTTTAACGTAAATCAAAAATAAATTATAAGCCGTATAATTACACGCACTTTCGTGTATTACGAATTTATGAAGCGCGCTATTTAAATAGTTTTCATAAATCGTAATTTTTTTAAGTGAGTTTATTTTGAATTATTGTTCATACATGGTAAAATTATTTGACGACAGCGATAAAATTATACTGGATTCGTTGTGTTTTGTGCATAACAATATTGAGCGCAAAATAAATATTATTACATCGAAATTGCGATATGAAGAAAAAAAATACTGTGTATCTATGCATTATGAATTGAATGTTTTGAGAGTTATCTCATCTTTTAAAACCTATTTTATCTCATTTTCATTTCTCTATTTTCAAACTAGAAGAAGAGTGATACGTTGTATACTGATATGAATCGATGAACAACAAATACAAACAATACAAAAGTCACGTAATAATTCAAGATAACCATTATATATTCTTTCTAATATTTACTCTAAATTTTCGTAAAATAATAAACCGTACATAATTTACTAATTGACAATAAAACAAATACTAAGATTGTTAACCTTCTTAGTCTCATCAAACCATTTTTTCTTCTTTTATTTCATTGTCTAACAAAAAAATTCATGTACGATGTACAACATGAAAGCTATATATAATAGTGTTGAGATCCAACGTAAAGTGTGACTAATTAACTGCATCATGTATTATAAACCGAAGGCATCTGATTAATTCTGAAATGACGATACTAATCAACTGATAATGAAAGAAAAGTTCACGCTGCGCAATTCTAGAAATGAATCATGAACTGAGCGAGAATGGTATCCAGGATCACCTTGGAGCAACCATTCGACGAGTCAAGAATTACGACTCGTCGAATAGCATTATCGTCGATATATCAATTCGGTACATAACGATAAGACATTGTCGTCGTATCAGAAGAGATTTGGTGAGACTTGTGTATCCGATGGTGTTTTTACATAGAGAAAGATAGAGAGCGTTGGGGTTATCGCGGTTGCGAGGCAATCATATCCGATGATTCCATTAGATCTCGTGGCACGAAAGAAAACAAGAAGATAACAATAAGAAAAATTTAATTTAAAAATCAAATTTCAAGTTTATTCTCTTTTTTGTTCGAATCCTTTCGCGGCTTGTCTTGTCTGGTATAAATCTTTTTGTTTTATATTTTTAACCTTTTGCAGTGTCTTCTTAAATTCTCGATAAATAAACGCATAATTTCTTAATAGATATGTATTAAATCAGATTTAACACAAAAATCCGAGAAATATCTTCGAAAATTTGAAAATGTTATATGGAAAATATATACATTGTAATAAATTATCTGTTGTTAAAATTATTTTTGAATTTTTTAAATATATTTTTAATACATAGAAATAAATAAAATAAGATAAATAATAAATCTGTAGTCTTTTATAAAGTCTATAAATTGATGCTCATGTAATTTCGAAGTTATTCGAAGAGAAACATAAGCAAGAAACAGGATGATAATAATAAAAAACAGTAACTTTGGGATCAAAGCTGTGTTCTAATATACACTGCCAATTCTAAAAATCTATATGATACGTGTACTATAAAGTATAGATTTTCAGTAGTAGTTAGGCTCAAAACTTTTCAAACGACCTTCGTATACATGTAATATGGATACAAAAGTAATTACCAGAAGTTTTGGTATATGTAATATACTATATACTATATACAGGGTGTCCCACCTAACTCGAGCATCTGAAATATCTCGCTTGGTTTTTATGATAGAAAAAAAATGTTTCAGATAAAAGTGAAACAGTTTCAAGAGGGACGTGTCATGTTGTCTTTCTTCTATGTGGAGGTACCAAAAAGAGTATGAGTGTCACTTCCATTTTTTTAAATAGAATTGTATAATTTTTTTGCATAATATGATTCCTCTAATTATTCTGCATATAAAAGTATCATGGTAAAGATATAAAAAAACCAATAGTTTATGAGATATTTTATACTTTATTATGGCACATATTAACATAAAATGTTAAATAACTCGTAAACTATTAATTTTTTTTATAATCGTACCTTAATACTTTTATGAACAGAATGAGATAAATCCATTGGTGGAATGAAAATACGACAATATGAAAGATTATAAACAATATATAAATATATAATTAATTAGAATTATTCTAGTTTTTAAACGACCATGCAAAGATATTTTTATAAACATAAAAAAACAGATTTAGAGGTTTTAATGGGTTTACAATTTTGATAATAATATTCAGTTCGACCTTTTTAACGTAAAGAATAATACCAATTGTTCTTTTTTTACATAAAAGGAATTTAAAAATTATTTTCACGTGTCTCTTATTAACCTTTGCGAAATTATACCGGCGAGTTCAATTTCCACAGTTAAGAAATGTTACAAATATCACGAATAATATCACTTCTTCACGATTATAACCTCAGAATCTGAAATCGTCGAAATTACATAAATTTCAGTCACTATCTCACGTGGATCTATAAAATAACGATTGAATTTGCTCGGATCTGATATCGAACGAAGAAATAAATAAAGCGCGTGAGAATAGTTCCCCTCCTTGATTAACTGATTAACGATTAACTGAATCTACTTACGTGTACGCATCTTGCTTAACGAACCTGCCTCCTTCGAGCACCGAATGCTTACTGCGGAGGACGATCTAGCGAACGAATATAAAATATTGGCTGTAACTTCTCAGGAAAACCCCAGTCCCCGCCGAGAGAAACAAGTCCGTCGACGTAGACGATCGTAGTGGTACGACCAATCGTGAGGAAGCGCGCGTTCGTGCGGCTCGAATCGGTGCCGCTGCTCCTTAATCGATCCCCGATGGCGACCCTGACGAACTCACGTTACACCCGGCTCGGAATACAAACGCACGGATACGAAGGAGATCCGAAAACGCAATCACGACCATCACCGTCTCCTTCCTTGCTTCTCCCGTGCTGAAAGCTGATTGTCGATTTTTCGTTCCGATCGTCGGCTTAAATCACGGTCGAGCACGATTCAAGAACGGAGAACGCAAGGAGACCTTTCCGCGGAGATTGAACTTGAACCCGATATTATTCCCCGAAGTTGTCGAGTTGAACTTGAACCCGGTATTATTCCTCGAAGTTGTCGAGAGATATATGAAAAATAATTCTTCTAGGTCGGTATTCATAGTCAATATAATATTCTCATACTTAAGACCATTTTATAAATACAGTTTTAAGATATCATAAGCCAATCACAGAACTGTAATTAATATCTTAAGATGTCACTTAAGATGGTCTTGAAATAAGAATAGACTATAAATATCGATCTAGATTCTTACACAAAAAACGGCACATGACACTTGATGTAAGAACTATTTTCAAAAAGTTACAGCACCAAAGATTGGATTCAACCAATTAGTTATAGTGGTTTCAATTCGGGCGTTTAATTCTCTGCTTAAGTCTCACTTAAGTCACCGATTTTTCTATTTTATAAATAGGTCTGTTTATTTCTATTCGCTTATCAATCTTGGAGTTACACTATGGAAATTCATATTTAGGCCAGTCAACTCTATTAGCATCTTAAGATATATCGCTTAAAACGATTTTAAAATACAAATGGATTATGAATACCAGCCTTAAGTCTCATATCTTTTTGAAAGATTACAGGTTGAAGGATCCTACTGAGCAGAGTATTTTTGTTGTACGAGGTACGAAACCAGTTCTAGGAAACCTGTTGCCCAGTGCAAGGTTAAATTCATAAACGTACTAACACACCTCTTTGATTTTTGTGCAAACATTTGTGCAGGTGTACTTTATCTGCATTTTTGGTATACTCTTGTCTCTTACAAATAAAAAGATATAAGAAAGAATGTATGAGATATAAGAAGTATATAAGATATAAAGTATAAAGATATAAGAGAAATGGACATAAAAAAACGAAGCATAGAAAAATGATTAAAAAGGAAAAAGAAAGAAAAATTAAATTTATGTCTTTCGAATTAACGTAATATTATATATCATTTCACTCGTTAATTATAAATATTACATTCGGCATATTAATTACAATATATGCATATTAATCTGTTTTTAATGCGTATTGATTTTTGTTTCTTTTTAATAATATTGAATTATTAAATAATTTAGTTAATTATCAATTAATTAAAATTATGAATTAATATGTTTGGATTTTCAGTGGATCACTACGTGTAGCATTGAAGAAAATTTATTTAATCTCATTCATTTGCATTCATTTAAATTAATGAGTATCATGCTACTATTTTTTTGGAGCGGACTATAGCATACGAATATACATCGCTGTGACATTTAATATCTTACAATATTACAGTTTATATCCATCGCTGTATAAAAATATGCTTCCTACGGAAGATCAACAGGAAAAAAATGCAAGGAGATATATTACGTAACAAAACCAGTTATTTTCTACGGGATTATCCTATAGTTAGAGACATTTTGACTTAATAATATCATAGTCTTACGATAAGAACAATTGAAACAAAATCAAGCATTTTAAAAATAAATATGATATCGAAATTTTAAATAGACGATTTCTTGATCTTCTTTGATTTATACGTTTTATCTTCAATACTGCACTATTTTAGACTTCTTCAAGAATTAAAAATCAATTAAGATAAATAATCAATTTTACTTAATTAATTAAAACTGAGTGAGGCGAAGCTTAATATAAAAATAATAAACTTACACGCTAAAATGTAACTTTAATATTTATTTGAACTTAAAGGGAACTATGAAACTTTATATCATTCTTGCAAAATTAATTTAAGCGCGCAAATAGTTTTTTCTTCCAAGTTCAACGAACGTAACATATACATATATACGAAAATAAACGTAGAAACCCAAGTACTTTCCTTGTTATACAATCTGCGTCATCAAATTACACAAAGTAGAGTTGGTTATTTTTATTTCTGTTACCTGCTACAAATCACCGTTAGTTATTAAGAGAATCCGAGGTTAGAAGAAAATTCTTTCATAAATATGACAGACCGATTTTCTCAAAATTTCATGAAACTTTATCTGAATAGGAAGAATGAGTAAAAAGAAACGCGGAAGGATTTGCTATTGGAAGAGAGAGAGAGAGAAAGAGAGAGAGAGAATCCGAAAGATATTTTTATTTATTTAAAAATTTGTACTTTTACAATAATGAAAGCATATTTTACTCTTCAATACGCGAACAAAAGATTTTTTAATTTTATTCTCTTAAACTTTAAAGAAATGTGTACTGTACGTAAGTATTAATTGATTAGTGATTAATTATGATTAATTGTTAAGTAAATTGGTTAATGATTAATTATTTTACTTTGAACGTACAAATGAATCAATATTTAATCAGGTTGAATAATTATCATATTATATAATTTTTAAATAAAAAATTATATTTCAGAAATCAATAAGATAATAGTCAAGGGTATAGAAAATTTTCTTAAAATTTCAAAGCTCTCTCGAAAAATATAAATATTTCCTATACATTATATTAGATACATATCGTTTATTATATTAAATTAAAAGGAATAAAAAGAAAGAGAGATATAAATATATGTTATATTATTTAGTTATGTACATATCACAATATTTCATTTATCAACACTAACGGAAAAGATAATTTATTTTCTGCTTTAATGTCAAAAATAAAATAAAAATAAAAATTGAGAGCTACATTTCAATAATTATTATAAATCATATAGATTATCGACTATAAATCATTTATAGTCGGTAATCACAATTATAAAATTATTTAGTTACAATTATCTAATTAATGTTTACGCCCCTTAGAGACTAGAGTCCTTAACGCACATTAATTAAATGTATTGACGTCATCAGAACCATACAGCGTGTTTTCTCGGTATAATATGATTCCATACGCGAGTCTCGAGACGGGATGACGCATATTATTATCGCAGATAACAATCGTTACAACTCTGCATATCAATTTACCAATCAACAATTGACAGCAAAAGCAACAAACACGAGCTTCCGGCACTTAGCGGCTTTCAGAATTTATTTATACGTATACTTGCACAAATTCCGTAAATCGATCCCTATTGCACGTCGCACTCACTCGTCCACCATGTCAATGTCTTCATCGAGTTTTGATCGATTCTAGTCATTTGTGCGATTACTCGCCAGTCAGGTCGAAATATCGTCGTGTGGTCAAAGATCGATAACGCGACTTAAGTCGACAGAAGCACGCATGCCTGAACGTATCAACAGGTGTCGAGTTGGCAAACACAGTTTGGTTTTCGCCAGTTATGGGTACCGGCTGATTCACATGATGAGACGCAAAATCATTTATGTAACATTATAGACTAATTACGTACGGTCCGTTTCGATCGTAAAAATGATCAAATGAATTATTTATGGAAAATAAAAAATAAAAAATGCAAAAATTATTAAGAGTTTCCTCTCAATAATTAATTTAATTGGTATAAGTTCCATCTGGAATTCATTATATTACGAAAACTTGATATAACAAATAGAGTAATAATTTATTATTATCAACGATTGTTCTTTACCAATACAACGAGGATTTGCTGGAATAGAAATAAGTGGTAATAGAGTAAAGCATAAATTAAATATCATTCGCATTGATAGGTATTTATTAGACTTGGAATGCTTTCCATTTAGTGACACAAACATCATTCAATCTTTCTTGACATTTCAGTGAATAACAAAGATACAATGACAGTTGTGTCGATTTCTGTCACCAAATGGAAAACACCTTTGATATATTTTAAAATTTAATTCGTGAAATAATGTTAACGAGCGTTAAGTAAAACGCTATTCCTTTTAATCGCTTAATTTGGAAATTATTTTAATAAAAAGGGTCAACTCTAATTCGCACTAAAGTTAAATAATTTACAGTTTTGTTATATGTGTGCCATGTTTATTATTGCAATAGATAGATTTAACTGATCATTCACTGGATTCATGTGAGACGATAAGAACGCGATTAATAGATTTGCTAAATTAATTAGGTCATTTAAAAAAAATGTATGTCACTCAAATTTTAATACAATTAGCGATTGATGTAATTATCAAATAGAAAGAATTAAGTACCTCGTTCGTGCAGACTTACAGTGTGAAAAACGTCGTTAACGACTGAAAAACGTCTTCTCAGCAATTTTTCGTTTTTATATAATATCGATTGTCTTCGTGAAGTGGAAAACTCAATGCAAATAAACTTGAATAATGTGTAAATATTTGAAAGTATATATACCTTGGAAGAACCGATTACGTGTTCGATCGTTAATGGGTTTCCATTTGATAATGTCACGAGTTGACACACGTCGACACAAATATCATTCCGTCTTCCTTACTTTCTGAATATCAAGAAAGATAGAATGAAGTTAGTCGACTTGTGTCACTAAACGGAATTAGTACATAATAACGCGCCGATGATAGTCAGAAATATATATACTGATGAAACAACGACTGATAACTAGTTAAATATGTAATTTGTCACTATTTTAGGTTTATCGCAAGGTAAAATCCATTAAATGTTATATATACATTAGATAACCAGATCGTTCCATTGTATGGAAAGTACGATATTAAATGGCAATATGGTTATAGGAATTTGGCGTGTACGCGGTATATAAAAAAATATTTAATTTCTAATTCTAGATATATTTTTGATAACTTACATCAAAAGCTACGGGATCTTCGATGCGTCAGTGGCTGGGCGTATTTTGGAGACAACTGATTCGTTCGCACTAAAGTTAACGACCGCGCCGATAAGATTACTCGTTAGGTGATATGCCGAGTATACGTGTTCTGACTAAAAGCTGTTGTTTCTCTCTGCTAGAACTGGCTAGAAGTGAACGAAACACCTAAATTTAGCCTTCTCCCTGAATGACTAAAACTGCGCGCGCAATTCGTTATTATAATCGCTTCGTTTTCAGAAAATTTTGTATGGTAAACGGAAACGTAGAGAAGAAGGTGGTATTATGGCCAAGTGTATATATTGTGGCTTCCTTTAATATCTCCGTTATTATATAGCGAATCCTAATAATTATTTATGAAATTATTAGTTCAATAGTTCGCCG